TGATGGCTGATAGGGCTGTGCAGCAGGCTGATCAACCAAATGCCGTCCTGGAACAGCTCATCTCAGCAGCAGCTGAGTCGGGCCTGGCCCTGCACCTCCAAGGAAGGAGAAAGTTGTTTTATCATTATGATATGAATAAATGTAATTGAATATATTTTCCTTTTTTGCAAGAAAATTCCTGAGAGCCAAGTTTTGACCCTATGAACAACAACAAACTCTGCGGATGGAAATTTTCAGGTTTGAAGTGAAGGCTGCAGACTGATGCACTGTAAATTGTTCCCGATCTTCTTCCCAATTTTTAGCTTGATCTTCCAGATTTTACTGAAGTTTTTGTCTTTTGGGAACTGGTGGAAACTTAGATGCGATCACTTATGCCGCACGGAGTTGCACTGGGGTACTGAACAGTTTTGGTTTCCTTGGACTTGCTTTTTGTTGCGAACTTGCGATTCATAGCCAGGAAGCTTTTGGATAGCTTTCAACGATAAATGTCCACCTTCAGAGAAGACGATAGTATAATTATTTGCAATAAATTGTCTCCTATCGCACCCCTCACCAGTCACCAAATCACACGCCATTCAAAACACCGTCAAAGCCGCTCTTACACGTGTGTAATACACAGCGCGCTACATTCGAATCAAACGCGCAACCAGTGCTATCATCACTAGCGCATTTCCATATTCATCCGCTATGTGGAGACTCTTTCGATGTAATTAGTCAATGAAGTGCGGGTGCGAGCCTCAAGAGCTCAAAGCTCAAGTGCGAGCCTTAAGAGCTCAAAGTCGTCGCCAAGAAGGCGGGTAAGGTCGAGAGAGCAGACCTCGTACTCCGATCTGACCCGCCTATCTTTGGCGTGTCGCCGGACGGCCCAGCGAGCGACGGCAGGGCGGTCGTGGAGGCGAAGTGCCCGTCGAGCGAGAAAACCCTCAGGCGCTACATCACCGAGCATTTGTGGAGGATTGCAAACAACTGTGGATGTTCTGGCACCGCAAATCCGCCGCCCCAGCGCGAATGACCTTGACCTCCGCCGTCTGCTGCGGCCTCAAAGCTGCGCCGACGCACTGGGGCGGTGGCTTTGCATTGCCCGAACGCCCACAATTCCATACCATTCTCCACCTATATGTCATTGACGACCAGACGATGGCAAGCAAGCATCGCGCCCAGGTACAACTATTGATGGTGACCGGGCATGACTTGGCCTTCTGTATGACAGACCCCGGGTTACCACAGAAGAATACAGTCTACGTATGTAAAGAGAGGTTTGACGAGGGGTACTGTCGCGACCTCATTCAGACTGCCAGCGTATTATGGTGTGACGACGTATTCCCTGAGCTGATTTAGGAACGTGGTCAACAGAAGGTCTCGGGCGGTGATGGGGGCAGAGCGTCGAAGAATTGTGATCGGCAATGTTCGTTGTTGTTTTGCTTGAACTGTGAGAGGAAAAATATACGTCCGTTGTTGCGTGTTGTAAAAACTTATCAGCACCATTCGTAAGTGCAAGAAAATATATAAGGACCGGACCTAAAGATCAGAAGTAGACGGACCCACCATTTGAGGTCCACGGACCACGGTCTATATATAGAGAAACCGCCCACTCTGAGGAAGACAGCCACCCTCTTCAAGACGTAGGAACCACCCTGTGAGACGGCGGCAGCCTCCTTGACGTATGGGCTGGGAGCCGAGGGGGCGCCACTCCCCTTCACCGCATAAGGCGGCGCCCTGCGGCGGAGCAGTAGGCCATTCCAATTAGGCATAGCATTTCAATTTAAAAAAAAAAATACTAACGCTGAGAGTAGCTGTGTAATTCAAGGGAAGCTTATTTTATCCTTTTTTAATTTATACTCACTACATTGTTACTCACTACATTTCCAACAAAATATATTGAATAATCCACGTAGGTATAATGTATATGGTAGGCATGCCGTTTGGTCTTATCATCTACGTCATTTTCGATGACAAATGAAGTCCAATTTCCACTGCGCCAGCCGGAATCCTTTTTCATCCCGAGGGTGAACGCTATCGTTGAACGATTTTCGGTCCGTCGGCAGCTCAACAGCCCCAGGAGTCAACTGCTGCGTACGCGTCCGTATTGTGAGGTCTCGCCGGGAACCACAAGTTCGGTGGCATTACCGACGACATTATCAGGGACATGGTCGTCGAGAAGACGATCCACCCTCGTCTCAGAGAGAAGCTTCTCCAGGACTCGGAGCTGGCTTTAGACAAGACGCTAACTACACCTGAGGCGTACGAGAGGGCTCTCCGAAAATCCGCACTGATAGCTGGCCAGCCATCTTCCCCAACTCCAGTTGCTGTCATGCTGCCACACCCTCGACAACAGAAGAGAGTGAAGAGCTAGATACCCCACAGCGGACTGGCAGAACGACAGGCTCCATGTTCCAAGGACCATATATTCCGTGGTTCCAACTGTGGAAGGTCTTCTCATCTCTGGAAACTCCCGCCGTTAAGCATTACGGCCTATGGGGGACGAGGGGCGGCATGTTTTGAAACGGGTAGGTATTAGACCGCAATGCGGATTTATTTTTAGGTTTAGAAGCTATTTACGACAGACAAAATTGATCAGGCTATCGAATGAGACCAAAACTATTATTGTTCGTTCCGCACAAAAGTCGTACACGAGGGCCTCAAATACAGACGACCTTGAAAAAGAGGGCCATTTCTAGTGTTTTTCTCTTACGCGGCGCCGGTGAACGCTTGCGCGGCGCCAGTGAATGCGCGGCAGACGCGGCTCCCGCTGCCGCCGCGCGTGCCCTCGGGCACTTACCGAAGGGAACGCAATCAGCTGTTAGTTTCCAATCCAGGTTCTCCTTCATCCATGGTAACAGCATTTCGAAACCAATGTCCAGACCAAAGGAATGCCCTTACCGACACTTAACCCGCGCACCGACGGGGGTCTGCGGCCTGCGCCGACTTAGAACCGACGGGTGGGGCGGATGACCGCCCCTCCCCCCCCCCCCCAGTGTCAGAAAAGTGGCCGGTTTCTCAATTTTTAACTTGGAAGTCAATTTTTCAAAACTCAATTTTTAACAATTTTTAACTGTTCCATGAGATTTTTCACTGCTAATAATCACATTTTTTTGTTCCGTCACTGACTGTAAATATCAATTGCAACTGGGCATCACAGGACTGAAAAGGGAAACTTACTAAAGAAACATGTTGATTGAAAATTTGACATTGTGCTTTGCTCTGTTTTCATCTCCAAAGCAGCAAGCACGACAACGACAATCCTGCAAGAACTATTGAAACAGATAAGAAGCAGTTGCTCCACAATTTCACCTTGCAATCATCATAATTGGATAAGTTAAAATGCCAGTCATTCATTCCTTTCCAAAGTTGAAGTGCATACCAGCCATACAAGATAGAAGCATTGACAAACCATGTCAAACTATCCAGCAAGCTTTAAAACAAGCGTGAAGGAATGAATCCAGTATACGTGCCTTGAATGTATGCTATTGAGTGTGTTTGTTAAATAAATAAATGTTTCCATCACATTTCTCACCTGAGCTCTGTTCGCACCTCGTTTATTTATCAGCAGGCTGCAACCATGCTGCTACTTCTTGGCTCCTCATTGGTCGAATTCAAGTGGTCTATTCGCTAGACCAATGAGAGGCCAAGCCGCACCAGCAATAACTTCCTTATATGGGGAATACCGACAGCACGCTGATATAAAAACAGCGAGCGAACAGGGCCCTGGTTTGTCGACGAATGAGAATCAAATGTTTACGAAAGAGAATCAGCCCGTGACAGGATGATACCTACCATCAAATTCAACCATGATCACCTGCATGTCACGTGCACAGAATGAGATTAGATGCTTCTTACGATAAATCAATATCATCACGAACAACCACCCATACCTATGACTTGAATGGCAAGTCCTCACCACAATCATGGTCATAACCACAATGTCTTTGCACAATGCACAATCCACATCACGTTTATGGATACACTGCCATTACTTTTACTTAGGTATTTTTTCTTCAACTCAGTAACTATTTATTTCCTGCTTTCTCGTCCACTATTGGGCAGAAAATGATTTTTTTGCAGGAAAAACTGATATAAAAAATTAAACACTACTTTTGACCATGATGCGCATTATTTGTCGCATTTCCCAAAAGACGCTCGCTTTCGACCGTCCAGTGAGGCTGCCATATCCTCATAACGGCATTTCAATGGCAGAGCATTTCTCAATTCATCATATTCTTGTTCCGTGACATCGAACAAAAGTACCTAAGGGTAGAATAAAGGTTGAAGTAGGCTTGCAAATGGTTCAAATTAGGTATGGCATCATAGATTGTTCAATTCTGATTGTTTCCATGCCCAATTTTTATATGTTTATGGACGTTTTCACTTTTCATATAGGTTTATCGAAACGCTGTGACCATGTTTCATCACGGAACAAATCACTTAATTTGGAACGTTTAAGCAATTCCGACTTTATTTTATAAAAAAAATTGGGTATAGTTAGAATCATTGAGACGGCCCTTTGCATGGCTTAAAATTATTGCCCAGTTGATGCTGATTACAGGTAAAATACTGACATGTGCTGATATCACTTTTACATGAAGTAATGTTTGTCTAGGGCATAAAATCCCTTTCCTTTTTAATTCAATATTTAAAATGAAGCAGCCAGCTTGAGGTCAAATATTCATTTATTTTAGATTATTTTTGCATTTGATATGCTATTTTGAAGTATTCATCAATTCGAATCAATTTCCATCAACTTGAAAACCAGTTAAGAGATTTCCTCTAAGTTCCCTCGCCAACGAGCCTCCGCGCCCAGAAGGCCCACAACAAGAAGAGTGGCCAGTACCTACCTAACATTTTACATCCTGTCAAAATGTTTAAGAAACAATTTATTGCCGAAGTATATACCAAGCACAAAAAACATGCAAATTGCTAAATATTTTCAACCAATTCATAACAAATGAGAGCTGAAAACGAGAAAAAGACACAAGAGACAAATGTTGGCGCACGGTACTTACTCTTGACGATTCGCTCCTTCGTCGGCAGTTTTTGGTTACTTGTCGAGGACATCTTGGATCATCGACGAAAGAAGCAGAAAACTGAAAATACTACCTAAAGAAATATATCTTAGCCTCCAAAACACGCCTTTGAAACATGTCGTCAGCCGCACGCAGACCACGCAAGCAACACGCCGAGGACGCCAACAGGGCCAACAGGATCTCGCCAGTTTCGCCGCAGGCGTCGCAAACCGGACAACACTATTCGACAGTCACTTTTGCAGCAATTCTATAACTCAGGAACTACTAAACTGATCGGAACGAAAACGACACCAGTCGAATCAACGCATGCAATTTCATTAGCCGCTTCGAAGCTTGTGACCTCAGATGACCTCGGTGACCTCAAAAGGTCAACTTGGCATTGACACCTATTGCAGCCATTCTATAACTCAGGAACTACTGGGCTGATCGCGACGAAAACACCACCAGTCGAATCAGCGTATGCGATTTTCATTAGCAGTTTCGAATATGATGAGCTTAGGTGATCTCGGTGACCTCAAAAGGTCAACTTTGCGTTTTCGCTTATTGCAGCCATTCTATAACTCAGGAACTAGGGTAGACCGGGGCAAGTCGCCCCGCCGAGGTAAAACGCCTCACCGATGTTTCTCGGAACTGGCAGGGTTCTGGGGAAACATCATCTCTTCTATAAAACGTGCACTATATGATCATTATATGAGCAGACTGGAAAGAAATTGTGATGACTCTTTCGGGAGATATAGCCAAAAATGTGTTTTTTGAGTGATTTTTATGTTTTGTTGTCAGATTATGAATCATGGCGTTCTTTTATGGTCCACATTAGGTTAATGACTTTTATGTATTTTGAACAACCATGGTGTGTCAAAAGTGGAAATAGCCGCCCGGCTTTAGTTCGCCAGCCTTGTCAATAGATGGCAGTACCACAATATGGGCAGCGGATCGTGCAATTGACGTCAAATTTTCGTTATCTGCTAAGAATTGAATGGCGGATCTTTTCATGCAAGAATCAAGTAAATCGGTCCACAACTTTTCTAGCAACAGAGATATGAAGTCAAACACCCTGCCAGAGCGGCGGCGCGGCGGCATGGGTGTAACTTTGTATACTTTCGAGGTCCCATGTGGGACCCCAATGCGAACATTTGGGACCCCAATTGTCATTTTGGGACCCCAATAGTGGAGGCCCCCGAGACGCACCAGCCACTACAAATGGAGGTCCGATGTTCATATAGAAGGTTCTCTGTATAAATAGGAGGCCCCTTAGATAAATAGGAGGCCCTGTTGGACATATGGGAGGCCCCCTGGACAAATTGGAGGCCCCCTGAACAAGTAGGAGGCCCCCTGAACAAGTAGGAGGCCCCCGGAAAACAGGAGGCCCCCTGGAGAAATAGGAGGCTCTCTGGACAAGCAGGAGGCCTCCTGGACAAATAAGAGGCCCCTAGACAAATAGGAGGCCCCATGGACAAATAGGAGGCCCTCTGTACAAATAAGAAGCTCTCTGAACAAATAGGAGGCCCCATGGACAAGTCAGAGGCCCTCTGTACAAATAGGAGGCCCCCTGCAAAATAGGAGGCCCCCTGGACAAATAGGAGACCCTAGACCTAGACAAACAGGAGGCCCCTTTCACAAAAGGAGCCCTGGACAAATAGAAGGCCCCTTTCACAAAAGGAGGCCCCCTGGACAATTAGAAGGCCCCCTGGACAATTAGGAGGCCCCCTGGACAAATAGGAGGCCCCCTGAACAAGTAGGAGGCCCGTTGGACAAATAAGAGACCTCTTGGACAAATAGGAGGCCCCCTAGAAAAATAGCAGGCCCTTGAACAAATAGGAGGCCCCCTGGACAAATAGGAGGCCCCCTGTACAAATAGGGGACCTCTTGAACAAAAAGGAGGTCCCATGGACAAGTAGGAGCTAGAGCCCCTCTGTACGAATAAGAGGCCCCCTGGACAAATAGAAGGCTCCCTAAACAAAAAGGAGGCCCTTCAAAAAAGGAGGCCCCTGGACAAGTATGGAGACCCCTGCACAAATATGAGACCCCTGTTCGAATAAAAGACCCCTGGATAAATAGGAAGCCCCTGGACAAATAGGAGGCCCCTGAACACGTAGGTGGCCCCCTGGATAAAGAGGAAGCCCCTGGATAAATGGGGACCTTCTGGAGAAACAGGAGACCTCCTGGACAAATAGGAGGCCCCCTAGACGAATAGGAGGCCCCCTAGACGAATAGGAGGCCCCCTGGACAGATAGAAGGTTCGCTAAACAAAAAGGAGGCCCTTCAAAAAAGGAGGCCCCTGGACAAGTAGGAGACCCCTGCACAAATATGAGACCCCTGGTCGAATAAAAGACCCCTGGATAAATAGGAGGCCCCCTAGACAAATAGGAGGCCCTCTGTAACAGTAGGAGGTTCTCTGTACGTACAAATAGGAGAACGGCGCTCGACCTGTAGAAGCTCAGCTGTATGTACAAAAAGGAGGCTCTCTGTGCAAGTAGTCGAAGTAGGAGGCTCTCTGTAGTGTACAGTAGGTCTACTAAAAAAGTCCCCCGCTCCAGAGGCGGCCGGCCGGCCGAACCCCCGGATGCCAGCCCCGACTCTATTGCGCAGGCCGCGGCAGCGATACCGGCGACACGGGTCAGGTCGCGGCGCCCGGCGAGTGGGTCAGTTGGCGGCGGCCGGCCGTGGAGTGAGGACGCCGTGTGTGGGGCGCAGAGATGCCGCAGTGCAGAGGAGGGGGAAGATAGTGACTCTGCACTATGCCGGAAATGATGCCTTTGTGATCTAAATTAAACACCTGCAGACGCAGTGCATATCCTCCCTCGCCCCATTCCTATTTTATCACAATCCTTCAATAATCCGTAATGACCATTCAACGCAAGCAAGCAAACAAAACAACCCGTTTAGCGGCGACATCATATCGGATAAAAAACCGACAGTGATGATTAAAATAGACTTAGCGCGAGGGCAAATCGAGGGGTATATACTATATATGTATCACATACCGAGTATTTTATTCCCATCTAGCAAACCAAGACTGGGGATCTTGTCCAACAATTCAGCGGCCGTTCTAGACACAGATAAATGCTTTGTTTTCGGTCGCATCATTATCTGCAATAATTCGAAGCGAGGTTTAACCCTCGCCGGCCGAGAAGAAGGGGTGAATGCCGCCACCATGTATTTTTTTTTGCGGTAGCTCAAAGCACACTGATGATAGAAGGCTGACATTTCATATGCCTTGCATTTGATTCAAGCCGGATCATTTGACATCAACCACGTTTTCAGGTCAGGTCACTTAACCATGGCGTCTTAAGTAAACCTCTGCACGGTTGTCGGTTATAAAATGATGCAAATCCGCAATGCACTTAGTGTCATATAAGCATAATGGGGAAATATGGAAACTGTTCATCTTGGCGTCGGAAATGATCCAAAATTATACCTAAACTCTCAAGCACTTCAAATCGTGACTTCATACATTCTTGGCAAGGTCTAATGCCTCACTTTTGCATTGTTCACCTTGCGTGACGTCATTTATGATGTCACTAGGGTGATAGGAGTGCTTCGTCAACAACTCCCGATCAAAATGAGCTAGCCAGTCGGGACAGCCATCAATGGACTTTGCAAGACTTGCCGAATCAAATGTTATGCAACATGTCCTCCTTTCAACAGATTCGTGACCTGTGTTGCCCTTACATGACATTGACCTCAGGTAAACATCCTAAATTGCTTCACCTAAACAAAAAAGCATGTAAATCGACGCGTCTGAGAACAGAAAACACGATTGTATCGATTAGACGATAATGCGACAATTTTTGTGGTTATTTACCAAAAAAACCGATCGAATGCCTTGGGGGCCCTTGACCTGCCCTAAGAGGTCACTGATATTTTAAAATGGGGTACCAGTCGCTGCGTCACGTAACGAAGCAAACGCTCGTTTTTTTTTCCGCGAGGCTCTAGCAGCTAGCTCAATTATAGGAGCTAAACATGGGGTTGGGGGATCGCTCCCTTCTCACTCACTATTTGGCCGGGATAGTGTTTGCAATTATTGTTAAAATCTGGCATTTTAAGATTTCAAATGACCCATTTTTCCCGCCCAAGTCTTTCAATTCAAGGTCATAAGTAGGTCACGTCAAGTGACCTTACCTCAAGGAAAGTTCCTGTGCTCATCAATCTAAATACACCGACTAACCGATCGCTTTAGAACTTTCAGCGATTTCAATGGGCAACACTATACCTATGTATTTGAAACGTTTACTTTGCAAGTTTGACATTGTTGACAGAAAGGCCGGGTCAATTTGGAGATCGTTCAAGTCAATGGGAGAAAATTGAACTGTGCTTTTTGGGACGGAACGCATAATAAACACTCTGAAAACATGTGGTGTTTGATGAGATACAATACTAAATGAGAAAATTGTTTGTTTTGTTGGGAGCCATCTTTTTCGGTCTGAAAAGGCCCTTGCAGAGCTATGACATAACTATGCTCTGGTGTAGTAATTAGGTTGTGCGAGCCAGCGACAGTGATCTGCGGAAGCGAGACTGTTCCCGTGGGACGATTGCCCTGTCGGGACGGTCCAGCCGTCTCCCAAACCGTCACCAAGAAGAGGATTATTTGTCCTGGAAATTCAGACATGTGCATGGATCCGAGAAAATGGATCTGATATCTGATCTTACGGATCCTGATCTCGGATCCGTGGGGATCATAGATCCAGCTCTTTAATTTATCGAGAGATCCGTAGGCATCATATATCCGAGTCTAGTATTTTGGCTTGAGATCCAGTGGGATCACAGATCCTCATTTATTTTTGGTCAACACAGAGATCCCAAAGATCACTCGTTGCAACTCACAAACGTTCTTATTTAGTGATTTAATGTGATAACACGTCATAATCCATAGTTTTATGGCACTTATTGACAAAGAAACACTTGGAAACCTGGTTCCAAATGTTATGCATGGTGGGATCCACTCAGATCAAAGATCCATGTTCTTGGTTTATCATCAGATCCTGTGAAATCATAGATCCAGGATCCTTTTTTCACGCCGGATTCTGTGGGATCATAGATCCGAACCTGCAATTTGCCTCGAGATCCACTGATATCATAGATCCATTACTCGGATCCATGCAAATTTCTGCCTGGAATTGATCCGACATCAACTACAGGTTGGCTGGTGGGGTGACCTCCAGTCCAGAGAGGGAAGCTTGAAGACTA